CCCCAAAACCCCAAAACCCCAAAACCCCAAAACCCCTGTAGTAAGACCATTTGGTGAATGCTAAACCCTAATATTAGGTATTATTAAGATTCAAATAAAAATGACGCATAAGACTCTTACAACGAAAGTCTTAAGATTGCTTATTAATTAGATTGTACATGCCATCGAGAGCTTTTTAATATTTACAATAGAGAGATTTTGGAACACCTTGAGTCTCTCAAAATAATCCTTGGCAGCATATTTTATGGTGACAGCTCATCTTTTCCTAGAATGCTCCTATTACCATAGTCTCCAAAGTTTTCGCTTTCATTGGTAGAGCAATGGAGAGGAGTAGTGCACTTTTTTGTCTGAATCACAGTATTAGAATGATCTTTTTTAGGGTGAAAATTAATCAGGACAGATCTTTTGTTAGTGAATACTGTCTTCAATGAAATATTTTCTATGTTACTTAGAGGTTTAGGTCTTCAAGCATCATCTTTTGTTTACCTTTGGGCTAAATATCTTTTCAGAAACACTCTTCTGGTATCAGGTCTCATTGTGTTCTTCAAAGGATCAAACTTTTCTGGAGCAGCTCCCTAACCAGCTTTAAAATCTTGGTTGAGATTTGAAACTTCTTCTTTGTATTATAATTTGATCAATACCCACTTCTCTATTTAAAACCTCGTCTCATCCCTAAAACTTCCTCTCTTCCTTACTCTCCTACTTCCAAACCTTATTTCCCTTCATCTAAACCTCTTCCTCACCCCATTTCCTCCGATCCCATCCTCATCAATACCCCCTATCCCACCCCTATAAATTCTACTTCCCAACCCCCAAGCCCCTTCTACTCCCTCACCCTCCTATTTTACGCTTGCCCACCTCTCTTGCCCCAAAACCTCTGCTTTGGCTTAACTGGTCCTACTCGGAATCTCTCTCTGCACTGGTTTTAGTTATTACTTAGCCAAATTTGTGACTAATAATGTGATGATTGGGTATTTAAGGACGAAGTATTACTTTTGGTGGTCTTACATCGTCTACATATTTTGTGATCTTTTTAACATACAGGAGTTGGTTATAACTCATGTCAAGTCACAAAAGATCTTGAAGCTCTTGTCTAATTTCTTCAGTAAGGCTCTACTCAGAAGTAATTTTGTCATTTTCTTCAATAAGTCTAAAGAAGTCATCAGTAGAGATAATATCAACAGTAGCCTCCCTCTTTGAGGATTTAACTAACTGTTCATACGTAAATTCATTTAAGAACTCAGTTACAGTGATTCCTTCTGAGTCAAGGAAGATAGATAGATTCAATAGCAGGTTCCTCGCACAATCTGAGAGATCACTCAAATTATTAATTTTCTTCCTAGGCTTTATTTCCTCAACAGTCTTGGTAATCTCTTGAACTGGAGGGGTCGGCTTCTGCTCTGAAAATTCTTGAGTCGGTTCGTTTTGAAATCCTTCTTTGTAACATATTCCGTTCTCCTCCAATACTTTGATAAAAGCCTTGTTGATCTTTTTCATCATTAAGAGATCTGGATAATGAGAATCCAGACACAATAGATCCTGAAGCTCTTGCTTCACTGTATCTGTGGGAAAACTGGAAGAGATTTCTTCCATATGCTCTTCAATAAGATTGAAGAAGGAGTCAACAGGAATTAGCCATACTTTGCTTGTCTTTGTTGCTGATTTAATAAGTTGCTCATACTTAGAATCTTTGAAAAAATCTCCTGTTGTCATATTCTGGAGTTTCAGGAAAAGACCGACTTTTAAGAGAAAGTTTTTGGACTCTTTGCATAGATGAGTAAGAGTCAAGACTATCTTTGGGTTTTCTGATTTGATCTCAAATTGAATCTCGTCAAGGTTTGTTATTGAGGGTTCTTCCGATATTTTAGGAGTTGTGACGGATCAAATCTGACAGTCCTCTTTATATGTCGTTCCATGGGTTTCTCCAATAGTTTTAAGAGCTTTATCAATCTTTAAAAGCATCAACAGATTCATATAATGCCTATCAAGGCAAAGAAGACTCTGAACCTCTTGCTTGATTTCATCAGTCAGACCCAAAGAAGTGTCTTTATCTTCCCTCTCTTCTAAGGCTCCAAAAAAATCGTTAGCATCAATAAGATCTACTATCCCTTCCTTCTTCTTAGTCTTCACCCTCTGTCCAAACACTTTCCCTTAAAAAAACTCCTTCACAGTCACCCCTCTCTCCCTCATAAACCTCCCAACCCCTCTCAAAACCTCCTTTCACCCTACAGAAATTCCTTCTATTCCAAACTTCTCCTCCAATAACTTCCAATTCTTCTCCATTTTTCTAGCATAAAATAGCACTTTAGGGGTTTTGGGGTTTTGGGGTTTTGGGG